TGTAAATCAATCCTTAATCTGATTTGCTAGATAATGAACTAAAGCTGAGTAATAGTACAACTGGAGAACCGAGGATTCGATATTTATTACTTGCACCACTATATTGCAGTCACTTTCATTGGTTACACTTGGCCATTGTTTGGAGTTGTGTTTTAGCGAGTCAGCATGAGCAATTGTCTAAAGGAGGTTTTTCGAGGAAATTCATGTATCATAAGCTTATCTAGGAGGCTTATAGAGAATATCAAAATTTCATGAAGCATACCAAAAAGTCGACCACAAGTTCTCTAAAAAAGACCACAAGTTTACTAAAGTATACTACAAGTTTATTAAAGTAAACCACCAAATCCATGAAGCAGACTAGTACTTAAAGAAAACCACAAGTTCCTTAGTGCATACCAAAAACCTCATAAAACATACCACAATTTTATTAAAGTGGACCTGAAACCTCATGCAACATACCACAAGTATTTTAAATCATATTAGAACCCTCATAAAATTGGAACTATTGGTACATCTTTAAACCATGATACCTCTACCCCGGTTTTAGCATGAAAAATACCTCGGAAAACGAGTATCGAATCTCAATTTCTCCACGGTACCATTAGCTCACACAATACTAAAACATAAATTAAACCCCCAAGCAGATCATTCATAAGAAATTAACACAATTCCCTTATATTGATAAGCTGCTAGACAAGAAGCTTACTAGGTAGAAGAGTGTTGTCACATCTTCGGCAGGAGATCTCGGACCAATACATGCGCAAGTATCAGCCAAAGCCTGATATCCAAGTCCTCTTCCTTTTCAATGAACACAGATCATGTATACTCGACGAATGCATTTGATCTATGTTTTTAATTATGCATACATCGACATCTGCCATGCATTTTTCCTAGTGACTGGATTAGTTTTCGTAGACTTAAAGGAAGACTTGCCTTGATGTGAGATTAGGGCAGCAAGTGTTATGTCACGATAGAGCTGGACGTCGGGGCAGGAAACATATCGGTACCAGTGGCCTTTCGGATTGGCATAACTTGCAATTAGTACGTCATTCGGAGGGACCTTATTATGTCTTCCTCGTCTCCTTCTTCTTCTTTCTTTCTCAATTGCCAATACTAGAAACCAACAAGTGAATCCAAGTCATGAAGTTCTGCAAACCTATGGAATATCCAGTCAATGGTTCCATTGTGAAATTGCAGGTTGTTCAGCTTGGAGTGACGCAACCCTATATGGGCTGGATTGAATTCAAAATAGACGCAGCAAGATCAAACCAAAGTTTGATGAACTTCGAACAATTACAGGGGGACTTTTGATGAGCGTTGATGGTCAATTTAGTCCAATCCCACACAAAGGAGAAGGCTCCAAATAGATAGGTAGGTGTTGGCCACAATAAATTGCATAATTAATCAATACAAACTAATCAAACAACCTAGAATCCCCTAGAAAGCTCAACACAATCACAAGAGGAAGCTTATGAACCAACACTCAAGGTTTGTATTCAATTGAACGAAATCTAACTATTACAATGCAATTTAAATACTAAATAGAGCTAAGCTTGCTAAACAAACTAATATGAATGTCCTAAACAAAAACAAACTGGAAATGGAACTCAAATCCAACAACTAAAAGGAATCAAAGTGCAAAACATAATAGTAATCCTAATCCGAGAATGATTCAGATTCCTTGGTTTGCAAGATAGTTTTGCCATTCTTCAGGCGATCTTGCACACGATCGTTCGAATGCCTCAAGGTACGTATTCAATCATCCAAATCCACGTATTTGTAGTAAATTATACCTACTTTTGTGTGGTGCAAGCCTCTGGACTCGACTCGCAGCCATCCTTCTCGAATTGAGCTCTAAAGTAGGATTCATGAACTCAGTTTTACACTTAGCCAGATTCTAGCAGTTTTCCTATGTTGAGGAGGCATTTTGTTTAGCTTCGAAAATGATCTTATGTGCTTCTCTTCGAGCATCCAAGCATTTCAATGTGTAAAGGAGCCCTCCAGCTTCAAAACAAACCCCTAACTTCAAATTTTCATTGAGCCAATTGTCTGACCAAGTTTGTAAAGTAAGCAACCTTAAACTGTAAAAGGACTTAGCCAAAAATGGGTTACTCTTAATGATGGATATTGCTTCTTGTTCAAGCTTGTAGAGTGAACCAAATGAAATCATATCAGCCCCCCCCCCCCCCCCTCCTCCCCCCCCCTCTTCAAAAATTTACCCTCAAAGCTTGATCCTTCCTCTTGTCAAAAACTTCACAGAATTGATACCAAATTGGATCGAAAGTAGGCTACCCAAATTGACTTTTATGGAAATTAGGTCCGCATTCTTCATCCGTGGAATTAGGGGTTTTCGATTTAAACATTTCCATCTTAATTCAGGGTCACCATCGCCTTCTCCTTGCTTCAAATTAACCTTTTGGATCGGCCTCCCATCTTGATTCGTTATCATCATCGTTAATTCGACGGTTCATCCTTTCTCGCCATCATCAAGGTTCAAATTGCCAGAACCCAGAAACTTCAATTCTAATTTGGGCGTTTTCACTCCATGGATCTCCGAGTGAAATTGAAGCTTCCTACCGCTTTGGACATCCTTCCCTGACGATTCTGCACCAACAGTTTATGTCGAATCGTTCTTAATCGCTCCAACCAATATACTTGATTTTTCGCCGAGTTTGCTCATTTCCAAAACAACTTCTGCTCGAATTGGATCCTGCAATGTAGGTATGTTCGACCCATTCTGGTCTAGGGAATAGCTTCCTAACGACTCCTGGAATGTGTCTGCACTTTTGGTGGAATCCGAATCATTCCCCAGTGCTCCACCCAATTGACCCTCTCTCCTGCCCTGCTTCCTTTTCGCCGGTGAGCAGAGTTTTTTCCATCAGCTTGTCTGGGTGGGTGAAATCGTTTCAGCACTATCAACAGGTAGCGATAGGCAACAAAACTTTCCTCCTTCCTTGTACCACTTGCTTCTCCTTTCTCTTTGGCTCGAATCTCGGCAAATTGTTGCTGGTCAGATCAAACCTCAGCCGGCGACATTGACTTGAGCATGAATTGTCGTCCTCCATGCTTCAACCTATTGCAGTAATTAGTTCCTAGAAAATGTCATACATGTCGATCAAATTGCCAAGGAAGGCCGAGAGCACAAGGGCTGCCTGCATCGGAGAAACTTCGAACACTAGTTCGTCTTTATAGTTGCCAATTTCAAAAGAAATCTTGGCTTGCTTGGTTACTTTGATTGCCCCATAATTATTGAGCCAATCGCAGGTTGTTCGGCTTGGAGTGATGCAACCCTATATGGGCTGGATTGAATTCATAATAAACAGCAAGATCAAACCAAAGTTTGATGAACTTCAAACAAGAATAGGGGGACTTTTGATGAGCGTTGATGGTCAAATTCGTGCAATCCCACGCAAGGGAGAAGGCCCGAAATAAATAGGTAGGTGCTGGCCACGATCAATGTGCATAATTGATCGATACAAACTAATCAAACAACCTAGAATCCCCTAGGAAGCTCGGCACAATCACAAAACAAAGATTATGAACCAAACTCAAGGTTTGTATTCAATTGAATGAAATTTAACTATTACAATGCAATTGAAAGACTAAAAAGAGCTAGGCTTGTTAAATAAACTAATACGAAAGTCCTAAACACAAACAAACTCGAAAAGGAACTCAAATCCAACAACTAAAAGGAATCAAAGTGCAAAACAGAATAGTAATCCTAATCTGAGAAGGATTCGGATTCCTTGGTTTGCAAGACAATTTTGCCAATCTTCGGACGATCTTACACACGTTCCTTCGAAGGCCTCAAGGTACACATTCAATAATCCAACTCCCCGTCTTTGTAGTAAATTATACCTACTTCGTGTGGTGTAAGCCTCTAGACTCGACTCACATCCATCTTTCTCGAATTGAGCTCCAAAGTAGGATTCATGAACTCGGTTTTACACTTAGCCAGATTTTGGCAGTTTTCCTATGTTGAGGAGGCGTTTTGTTTAGCTTCGAAAATGATCTTATGGGCTTCTCTCCAAGAATCCAAGCAGTCCAATGTGTAGAGGAGCCCTCCAGCTTCAAAATAAACCCCTAACTTCGAATTTTCATTGAGCCAATTATGACAACCAAGTTTGTAAAGTAAGCAACCTAAAACTATATAAGGACTTGGCAAAAATTCAGGGTTACTCTTAATGATGGAGATTGCTTCTTGTTCCAGCTTGTAGAGTGAACCAAATGGAATCATATAATGGAGTGAACCCTATAGCAAACAATTTGGAACTCGAGAAGGATCCCTTATCCCTCGCAAGCCTTCGATCTGGGTTTGGAGATGACGATATTGAACCGGCTGTTGATTGCACCATCGGAAAGCTTCCAATAAAAATAGGGATGCCTTCCTCACTGCTAACGGGATAGGGAGAATAAAAAAATATGCTTATATATTAAATTAATAATTGTTGTTTTCTGTTTGAAAAGACATTAGAACGAGGGATAAGAGAGAGGCAATCTAGTCATTTTTCTTCCATTAAATGGTCTACTAAAACATTTTTAATGAATGATACATTTGTTACATGTTGATAATAAAAAGATATAGAAGTGCAAAATATAGTACAATGGCATAATTGTTAACTTGCAATACAAAATTTTATTAACTCTTTAAATAACTAAAAATGACACACAAACCTAAAGATTCATTTAACTAAAAATGACTCTGTAGGTACTTTATGATGTTCACTTCCTACCTACTCCGTCCTTCCTTAATCTTTATTATTGGCAGTTAATATTTTTTCCCCTGGTGTCATCAGCGAGTGTCCTTTAAGATTCATTTAACAAACTTCTGAACCCATTGTCCGGCCCATGAATTTCGACCAACAAGGATTAAACAAAAAACGAACGATCAGGTCCCATCTCTCTACACTATCACGGTACCATTGACTTCAAAATTTGCCGGTGTATAAATATTATCTATCCATATATCCCCATTACTTACAAACAACGTCCACTCGACCATGAACACTACTTATCACGACGAAAGCTCCGAGCTTGATCTCCATCCATGGACCAAAATTGCAACCATCCTCCTAATAACTCTCTTTCTTCCTTTACTATGCATTAGAATCGTCCTTTCCACCACCCGCTCCAAGACCCGGAACCCACCGGGTCCTCGGGCCCTACCCGTAATCGGCCACCTCCACCTTCTAAGCGCAAGGCTGCCCAAATCCCTGGAAGCCCTCTCCAACATCCACGGCCCGATCATGAGAATCCTCATGGGACCAACCCCGGTCTACGTGATCTCCGACGCTGCCACGGCCCAACAAATCCTCAAGGCCCACGACGTCGATTTCTCCTCCAAGTACCCACTGGGCTTCGGCCTGTCGCGCTTCGACATCTACGACGACTCCAGCTTCGTCAACGCCCCGTACGGCCCGTACTGGCGGTTCATGAAGAAGCTCTGCATGACCCAGTTGTTCGCTGGGCCGCAGCTGGGCCGGTTCGTCCACATCAGGGAGCAAGAGACCTCCAAACTCCTCGAGTCACTCGAGAAGAAGTCGAGGCTTGGCGAGCCGTGCGATCTGGGGAAGGAGCTGTCCGGTCTGGCAAACTGCATCATATGTAGGATGGTGATGGGGAAGCGTTGCGCTGAGAGCCCGGAGCTGCCGTCGGTGATCAGGGGGCTGGTGAGGAAGATGATGGAGAAGGCGGCGAAGTTGAGCTTCGTGGAGGTTTTCGGGCCGTTGAAGAGGTTTGATGTGTTGGGGAATGGGCGGCGGTTGGTGGCGGCGACTTGGGAGTACGATCGTGTGATGGAGGAGATTATGAGGAAGTATGAGGTGGACGGTGACGTTGATAGTCGTCGCTGGGAAGAAGAAAAGGAAGGAGGGAAGGATGTGATGGATATATTGCTGGAGACTTACAGGGACCCTGATGCGGAGTTGAAGCTGACCAGAAACCACATCAAGAAATTGTTTCTAGTAAGTACACTCCTTTTTTCTCCAGTGGCATACTAATTTACATTATTTGAATCACAACAAGTGGCATGCCAAGTAGGTATTTGACTTCATGATCAATCTGAATAAAGTTGGATAATATCCGTGTGTACAAATTAGAATAGATCAATCTGTTTTTATGTGCAGGGCATGAGTAGATTAATTACTCCATTCTTACATGTAAATGATGGAAATGTATGTGACCTCATAAAAACAAACAAGTTTTAGGTATGTAAGTAAGTATAAAAAGAAAATAAGCAATAAACTAGGTAAGGGACGAATAAAAGTAAAATGGATATACATATAACCTCTTATACTGCTCACTAGCTTTATCCCCGGCCTATTGGCCGGGTAAATTTCATGTTTTAATCAAATAGTTATTTAAGTTTGCAACGTTTTTTACTTATCATTTTCAAGAACATATTTGTTGTATCTTATTATATTTTTATGAGATAGTAACTAAGCAACTGTCTATTTAGTAGGGATAAATGTTTAAACCGTATAACTGTTTAAGTAAATTGATAACAGCAAAAAAGTAAAACAAATATATATATATATATATATTACCGAAACTAACGAAGAATTCTCCAAAACCTATGTTAAGGCCCGTATTTTCTAAGCTATTTTAATATGTTTATTTAAAGATTAAATTCTTTAAAAGGGGAAATAAAGGTAAAACGTGTGAAAAAAATGGGGAAAGATACCGATAAATGCTGTAGAAGGAAGTTTTGAGAAGAAAAAAAAGGGAAAATCTGAGAATTACGGAGAATACTGGGAAATTTGAACGGGGAAGGTAATTTTGAGAAACCCCTTATATATTTTTGTAGATAGATAGATAGATAGATAGATAGATAGATATAATAGAAGAAGTCGAATCCAATCCTACGAATCATATTAAAATTGTTATCTATACCTCAACTTTTTAAATAAAAACATGATGGGCTAATGTTAATGTATTTGGCCATGGCCCAATCAAAACCCAATTTAAAGTCTTGCCAATCCAGGCTAAGAAGGCCTTCACATTTTTTTTTTTCCATTGGTTAGGAAATCTTCTTCGCCGGAGTGGACACAACAGCAGCAACCATACAATTTGCCATCGCCGAGCTGATCAACAACCCCAAGATCCTCAATCGGCTCAGACAAGAAATCGACACAGTCGTTGGGTCTACTCGGGTGTTACAGGAAGCCGACATCCCAAAACTGCCCTACTTACAAGCAATAGTCAAGGAAACGTTCAGGAGGCATCCCGCCGGCCCTTTGCTCCGCCGTCAGTGCAACGTGGAAACCAAGATCAAGGGGTACGACATAAAACCGGGCGATAGGATCATTATCAACGCCTACGCCATCATGCGCGACACCATGACCTGGAAAGACCCCGACGAATTCGTGCCAGAGAGATTCTTACAACCTCCGGCGGCCACTGATTCAGGGGGCTCCGATACTAATATCTACCAAATGGATTACAAGGGTCAGGATTGTCGTTTCCTCCCCTTCGGGAGCGGGAGGAGAGCTTGCCCGGGTACGTCACATGGCTTGATTGTGACCCACATGGCAATCGGAGGTTTAGTGCAATGCTTCGATTGGAAAGTGAAGGATTCGGACAGGATTGATATTAAGTTGGTTACAGGGTACTCTGGAGCCATGGCTCTGCCTCTCATCTGCTACCCCATCTCCCGATTTGATTCTATTTGATGATAAAATATGTCAATTCACCGTCGGGACTAGTACAGTATGGTTACCATACCATGTTGAAAGAAGAAAATCAGAAATCCCAGAATCAAAGGAGATCAATCATGCTCAATATAAGCTTACCTTTTCTGGGAGTTTTTAAACGCAATGGTCGTTTATTGGGTTGTCTATATATTGTCAAGCTTGTAATTGTTTCAACTTTGTAAGGGCTATTTTACAAAGGGACTAGCTTTAGAAAAGGTAAAGGTTTTCTTAACTAGGAAAAGGTTACAAAGAGTCTCCCAGATTGTAATATATTTGTGTCTTTATTTTGTCAAACTAGAAAATCAACAAAGAGTCTCCCAGATTGTATTATGGAACGTGGAAGTAAATCATTGCATTTGCGCGAACCACGTTAAAAACGTAGTGTGTCCATTTACTTTTTAGGGCTAATACCACTACAACACCCGAACTATTCCGAAAATGCCACTTGTGTCCTATCGTTTCCAATATTCCATTCATGTCATGAACTATTATACTTTGTGTCATTTGTATCCTGACAATTTCGTTGACCGTTAAAGATAACGGTTGACCAAACTGCGGTCAACTTAACATTGACTTTTGCTTATGTGGCAATGCCAAGTCATTGACACCTCACATTTTCAATTTAAATTAAATAAAAGCTAAAAATAAAGAGATTAAAAATTAAAAAATATGTAATCTTAATAATAATAAAAACCTCCTCTCGTAAAATTCTCCTCCACCTCTTCGTCTTCTCCAACCACCCCCGCCTCCTTGCCGATCTCGTCCCTTGAGCTCCTCCACGCAGCGCCTCCAACTCTTCTTCCTCCATCCTCACCAAAGAGATCCAGTTCATGTTCCTCTGCCTCTTCAACATGAATTTAGGGTTGAAAGATCCAAATCAGCAAATAGCCTGCTAAGATCGGGCAGTGGAGGTCCGATTCAAAAGTCGATCGATTGGTTTACCGCCATCGTCGCCGTCCCAAATCCCTTTGTCTCCTTGACACTATTGGTGCTGTTGTGCCGGGAAGCCAGTTTCTCCGATTTGGGTTTCGTTGCTTGCTTTTGAGGTCCGATTCGGAGTAGCAGCAGGTGCCGGGAAGCCAGTTTCTCCGATTTGGGTTTCGTTGCTTGCTTTCGATTCTGAACCCAAATCCCAAAAGTGGAGCACCGAGGAACCCAAATCCCTCGCACTAGTGAGGAACCCCCATATCGGCGACCTCGCTTCTTGCGTACCCAGATCTGTCGGCACCTCCGTCCAACAACACCTTGATTTACTAGCGAATCACCAGATCTGTCGGCACCTCCCTCCTATGGCCTGGATTCAACGAGCTTTGCCGATGATTCGTTGTGGGCATCTGCATCTCACATCATGAACTCGCTCGTGGGTGAGGAGGAGAGTCCACCCGTTGAAGAAATCGAAGATGATTGCTGGAGCATGGTGCCGCTGTCGTTGTTGAGCGGAGTAGCAGCAAGTGCCAGGAAGGGTGAGCGAGGAGAAAGGGACGAGGGGATGAATGGTGGAGATGGAAATTTTTTATTTTTTTCATTGTTTTTATTTTAATTATTTTATTAAATAAAAAATAAATTAAAATTCCACGTCATGTGCCACATTAACGGTGACTAGACTTTCTGTTAAAAATTACCGGTCAAAGCAAGTCAACTTTAACAGAAAAATAGTTCAGGACACATATGGAATATTGAAAACAATAGGACACAAGTGGCATTTTCGGAATAGTTCGGGTGTTGTAATGGTATTAGACCTACTTTTTATTAGTGTTCTTCTTTCTTAGTTTCTGCTCTCGCTCTGTTTCGGTCTGATATTATACTTCTAACGATCTCTGTCCGAGGAAGAAGAGCTCAGACGATGTAAGCTAGTGTTTTCCGCTTGGGTTTGTCTCTTTAAGCCCAACCTTTTATTTTGCAGTTCAAAACCCATTTTAGTCTTTTAAGTGCCTTGTTTCTTTCTAGGCCTTCTCATTCTAAAGAAGCTCAATCTCTTGTAAAAAAGAAAAGAAGACGTTCAGTCAACAAGTCTTCTTCTCCATTTTTCTTTCTTCTACTCTCTATTTCATTTAGGCTTCTTCTCCTCAAAGTCAAAATCCCTAAATTCACTGGTTTCTAGCCTGATTTCACACTAGTTCCATTGTACAACTCATGGAGATTTTTCTCTATTTCTATGTGTGAACCTATGTATATAAACAAAATATTAGGAATAAGAAGAATGCATACCCGCTTGTAGAAACAAAATAATGTCGTCTTCTATGATTCATCCTTTTTAATAAACGACAGATGATTGACTCCACACGGGCTTCAAAGTTTAAACTAATATATATATATATGTGGTAAAGGCTAGCGTATGCCCGTATGCCCCATTGAGTTTTACCATTTAGACAATGAATTAACCGAAGTTTGGGACATGATACTATATCCTAACCCCTAATGGGTGAATCGCAATCCCTAATTCACTAACTCAAAGCATGAGATTCGTTTAATCTTATAATGAAAATCACAATTCTGATTCGTCGAAATTACCATTGATTTCATTTTAAGATTAAATGAATCTCATGGTTCGGGTTAGAAAATTAGAGACTGGGGTTCACCCATTAGAGGTTAGGTTATAGTATCATGTCCCAAACTCTTATTAAATCATGATCTAAATAGCAAAACTCTATGGAACGTATGCTAGTTAGCGTACGCCCGGGCGTACGTTAATCTGAACTTATATATAGAACCCAGCCCATTGGCCATATACATTTCATCAATGTATAAACAATAAATAGTAATTGTTTCAACCTTTAACAACATAAATATATTCATCATCGATTCTACTATCACCACTCTCAAATGTCTCTTCCTTCTTCTTAACAACATCGTTATATGTATCAGTGACTCCACTGCCTCCACCATCAATAGGATCTGTCATTCTCCTCATTTCATTGCTAGTAAATTTGAAGGCAAAACTAATATAAATAAGAAACATTATTATCATGCAAAATAAATTTACCTCATCCAAGTCATTTACAATAATTGTTGGAGATGTGAACTTTCCATCCAAGTCATTTATAAAGGTAAAGGTTTCCCTTGTCATTTATGTGATTTTCAATATATTACCTCAATTTTTACAAAAAGTAAAGGTGGATTATTTTTTCAACCACTATTTTGGAATAGTTTCTTAGCATCGTGCAACTTAAAAAAAAACTCTTAGTCATGTGCACTTCAAAATTACAAAGTTTGGTTCAACTTTTTTCTTCACAACATGAAGTTAGATTGAGATTTCCTATTCAATCAATAGTATAATTACATATATCCAAAACCCTCCACCTTTGCAATATTACTTGTCTTCCACTTTATAATTGTAACACATCTTTTTGTATTCACATGCCTAAATAACCCAATTATTTTGCTACCATATAACCCTTATATAATTAAATAAGTTATATAAGTTTCATATAAAAGATGGCTTTTGAGGTAATATGCATTTAAATTTTTTACATAAGCCATTACAAAAAATTATGAAGTAGGAATGGCAATTGTCAATTTTGACATAACCCATATTATCTGGTTTATTTGACCTAGTTTAAGTACTCTTCTCAATATCATGTAAAATATTTATGATTTAGGAGTGGGTGGGTATGAGTACTCTTCTCAACCCATTTTTATCTAAATTATAAATAATTTTACTTATGATTTTATTTTTATTGCCTTATAATTTAACAATAATAAAGTTGTAAATAGTTTCTCAGCATCATGCCTCCACCATCAAAAGGGTCTTGGTCATTCTCCTCATTTCACTGCTATCAAACTTGAAGGCAAAACTTATGCAAATATGAAATATCATTATCTATCATGCAAAATAAATTTACCTCATCCAAAACATCCACCCTTGCAACAATAGTTGCCCTCCACTTATAATTGTAACACGTCTTTTTGTACTCCCATGAATAATACTCCATTATTTTGCTACCATATAACCCTTATAATTAAAAAAGTTACTTAAGTTTCATTTAAGAGATGTTGTTTAAGGTAATGTGTATTAAAAATTCTTACATAAGTCATTACAAAAATGTCATGAAATATGGATGACAATTTTGACATAACTCATATTATCCCATCTATTTGACATGTGTTAAAGTGGGTAATACATACCCCTTATAGGGGCGGGTGTGTATGAGTACTCTTTTCGACCTCATCATTCCTGACATCCTCCATGCTCGATCCATTTTTGTCTAAATTTTATATAATTTTACTCAGATTGCTTAAAATTGTGTTTTTATTGCCTTATAATTTAGCAATAATTAAGTTGTAAATAATTTCTCAACATCATTTCTCCACCATCAAAAAGGTCTTTGTCATCATTCTCATTTAACTGTTAACAAATTTGAAGACAAAACTTATACAAATACGAAACATCATTATCATGCAAAATAAAGTTACCTCATCCAGACCGTTTACAATAATTTTTGGAGATGTGTTCTTTCTCATCTTTGATTATCTTTCAAACTATGAATTCACTTATGAGATTTGTAATTTCCACTGTCATTTATGTGATTTTCACTAACCTCAATTTTTAGAAAAAGAGAAGGAGGATGTCCTCTTCTACCACTAATTTGGAATATGTTCTTAGCATCATGCAACTCCAAAAAAAAATCTAATCCCTAGCACTTCAAAATTACAAAGTCCGGTTACACTTTTTTCTTTACAACATGAAGTTAGATTGATATTTGATAACTCCCTGATTGGAAGGTTTGTTTCAGAATCGCGCAGCCCAACCCTAAACCCAAACGTTGAATCGAGGTCTGGTCAGAAGAACACCAAAACAGAGTTTTGGTTTCGGTTTTCGGATGGCACTTCCGTGCAGCCTTCACGAAGGGAAGGAAGCTCAACAAGTATCAGTCGAGGCTTGGCCACAACTAGGGTGAATACCTAGTTGATACAAGCTCGAGATCCAAGCCAGAATCGACTAGATTGATCTCTTAATTCACAAGTAAAACACTTATGAACCCAAACTTGACGTTTGTTAATCAATTGAACAAAACCTAACTATTACATTGCAAACTTGAGTTTAAATAAGCTAACGAAACTAACAAAGAAATTAATCAACATCCTAAACTAGTTACAATTCAAAAGGAAAATGAATCCACTCCTAAAAGGGTAAACGAATCAAGCTGGTCACTAATCCTAATCCGAATAGGATTCAGATTTCTTGTTCATCCAGGCAGTATCTCCAACATCGACACAAACTTTCAGCCCCTTTGCTCGAGCCTTTCCAAGCATCAGTCCGTCACCTTCCAAGTCGTTGTATTAGAGAATGCGTACTTTCGTGAGGTATGAACGTTGAAGCTCGAATCTCATTCCAACCCTTTGAGCGAAGCTTCCAAAACTCCTTCCCGAACTGGCTCCATCACTTAGATTTTTCAGCAGCTTCTTCCGTATTGAGGTTACTACTTGATCGATCTAAAACCCACCATTCTTGGCTTCCACTTGAGCTCCAAAGCACATCAATGGCAAGATATATAAACTCTCCATCTTCAAACCAAGACCTTAGTATAGAATTTTCATTAAGCCAATAAAAAGTTTCAGACGTGCAAACCTTGCATCTTGAAACGGCCAAATGGCTTAGACAATTCTTAGGGTTCTTCTCCATGGCTGAGTTTCCTTCTTGGACAAGCAATTGGAACCTCCTGATTGATCCTACAGGGATCATATCAATATTCACTATTCAATAGTATAATTACAATATGCCCAAAACCCTCCACCCTTGCAAGTTGCAACATTACTTTCCCTCCACTTTATAGTTGTAACACGTCTTTTCGTACTCCCATGTATAAATATCTCCATTATTTTGCTACCATATAACCCCTATAATTAAAGAAGTTATATAAGTTTCATGTAAAAGATGGTATTTTAGGTAATATGTATGAAAAAATCATACATAAGTCATTACATAAATCTCATGAAATAGGGACGAAAAATTTAACCTAACTCATATTGTCCTATCTATTCGACGTGTTTTAAAGTGGGCAACACCTACCCCTTATGGGGTGGGTATGGGTACTCTTCTCGACCTCACCAATCATGACATCCTTCAACTGTTTTGTCTAAATCATATATAATTTTACTCAGATTGATTAGAACTTTATTTTAAATGCATTATAATTTAGCAATAATAAAATTGTAAATAAGTAAGAATCTAGATTAACTACATTTTATCATGTTATCCCAATCGCCATTCCTAAGCTATTCAACTGCTAGTCTGGTTTTTTACAGTGGTAAATACCTACCACTTGATTTGTCACCTTATTGACAGAGTTGTCGAGCAAGCTATTCAACTACTAGTCTAGCTTTTTTAAAAGTAGTAAATTAGTAATCCAGCAATTTGCTACATCATGCTTTGAATAACGGAAGGATACATAAAGTTTGTCAACATATATATATGTGTGTAATTTGAGTTTTAGGAGTTCATAACTCACCAATTGAACTTATGACATATGCCTCTGAAGTGGAAACATTAAAGCTTGTATTCTCTAAAAAAAGGATTACAGTTGTGCATCTTAGTGTTAATCACTTAATTGTCTTCGAGTGGTGGAAGAAAGACTGGTGGAGCAGAAATGAAGTCAGAGCGGCGTCACACACAACTTCTACTCTGTGCCGCTCGAGTGCTACTATTGTTGTCTTCAAGTGGTGGTGACTCTAATTAATAGAATTAGCTCAAGGGAGAGTGTTACTGTTGTTTTCTTCGAGTGGTGGCTACAAAATCACCGGCATTCAAGGCAACCATCGCCAAATTAGAAAGAGGGTAACCTAATAAATAGAACTTACAGAGGCAGGGTGGTTGCTTTTATGCATCGGTGAGGTTTGGTGGGTCGTCGCACTCACACTAAGGAAGAGATCAATCTCTCGAACTGCGATGTGAAAAATCCGGCCGGTAGCGAGAGAGGTGGCGGATGAGAAAGACAGGAAGAGAGAGACAGGAACTGGGGTGATTGCTTTTACACGATGGTGAGGTTTGGTCTGGCCGGCAACGAGAGAGAAGCGGGCGCGAAAGACAGGCGGAGAGAGACATGCACCATCAATTACAACGTTAGGAGCTATAATGGGCTTTGAGGTGGGGGGGGGGGGGGGAGGAATTGACTTGCGGCCTAGTTCAGTCCACGACCCAGTTCTGTCGCACAGATACATTTTACAAAACTCTCCTTCCGTGGACTGCACAGAGCGCAGGAAAAGAGAGATTAAGGGGGGTTATGGCCAAGAACCTCCTTATATTATAGTATTGTTAGGAGACTCTAATGTCCGGACAATTAACTAGGACAAGTAAAAAACAGTGCAAAGAACACCTTCAGGAAGACTTAATATACAAGGAAAGACATGTTTTGACACTCCCCTCAAACTAGTAAATATTGTATTAGCAATGGGCATGAAGTTGTCATGCAAGTATAACCCTCAGAGTTGATTGAAGCCTTTAGAGTTAATACCTTATTATGGCCCGAACTATACCCAAGTAATCAACTTTGGCCCATGTTTCAAAAATTGATATTCTGGCCTCAACTATACACAATATAGTCTAGTTTGGCTGGATGCGTGTTTTGACTGTCGAGAAACAGCTCTCAAGCTCGATTTTGACCACTGACCCTCTAGTGAAGACGAAAGGCACCAAATCAAATCCAAGGTAAGCATCCAACTTGCCACATCTAAAATCAATTGAAAATTGGTTGAAAGGAAATTGAAGAAATTGGGAAAGGGAACTCAATTGGATTGATTATGTTTTGCAGGGAGGTATGTGGATTTGGTCTATGGAACTTAGATAATTCAGGGATCGCTGGCGTGGCAAGGGGAATCGGAGATGGACATTTGAAATAATGGGTTTGTTGGAATCGCAACCGTCATTGATGAAATCGCAGGCCACCTTCTTTTTCATATTAGATCTGCCCCCCAACACTCTCAGGCTAGGATTCCACCCAACTTATTTCCATTTTTGATATTTCCCATATTGGAATCGCAGTCGCCATTAGGGTTTGTTATTATAGACTGAAACCTTCAGCCAAGGTTAAGTATTTAGACTCCGGGATCTGGCCTCTCCACCCAGCTTCGACGATGCTTCCTGCAGGCACCAAAAAAAATCCTTATAGCTGATGATCCCGAAGCTCCCTCGTCTGGTTCACCTGCAATTCTTGCTACCTCTGCTTTCCATGCAACTTCCCTAACGTCGAACCCACCGCCATCCCGAACTTCATCCCCATAAACTCATCCACCACCATGCTCCAAGGATGCAAAACCTCAAAATTTCTATTGAGTCGCAGTTTTGAAGGCGGGGTTTCGAGGTCGAAGAAGAAGAAGTTGCAGATGGCGAATGAGAGGTGGTGCGGACTGATAGTGTGAACTTTGATTAGAAGTAAGGATCCATTGCACGAAAGTGAGTTGATTCATTGCTTTGAATGTCAATTCAATAGAGGGATTCTAGTGTGAATTGCATTAGTAACCTGTCTTAGTTGAGGATAGAGTCCATCTAAGCAATCTAATTAAGAGGCCTGAGGCCCTTGATTGTTTTAATCGAGATTCAAGACTTGTTAAGTACTCTCTAAAGTATAAACAATGAATGAAATGAATTAAAGAACTATCAATTATTAATTCGACCGGTGGCTAGGGGAAATTGTTACCTTATTGATATTCTCATATGAAAACTTAAGTCAAATCAATCTATAAGCTTGTTTGCCTGTTGGGTTTGGATCATGGATTTGTGACACACCTAGAGGAGTCAATCATCGCTGAAGGAGTTGATTGAGTCGGGTACACACCCAAACTCGTTCTTCTTCTTCTTCTTCTTCTTCTTCTTCTTCTTGTTTGAAGAGGCTTGACACGAGGGTGCACTTGGCAACATCGAGGAATAAATCAATATGGGTTCGAGTCATAGCTCGGAGGCCAAATCAATTAGGGTCCTTGAGAATTGGCGCCTCCGAGAAGGAGATCTAAATTGCTTAGGAACTTCTAAATTGCTTCCCAACGTGACAATGACAACCGAATTGTTTATATGAAAAAAATAATAGTAGACAAATTATGATAAACAAAGACAATAAAGTCACTTTTATTTCATATTCAAGAAAAGCATCAAGAAACTCATTAAACAAAACTAATGATTTTTTCAAATCTATAATGAAATAATTCATCATAGAACATTTCCTATATATATATATAAAAAATACATCATAGGACATAGATTGGCTGTTCTATAAAACCCAAATTTTAAGGAAAATCTTCATTGTCAAACTCATAAAGCTACCACCCTCTAATTTCAAGCCCACGCACTAGCAAACTAAGTCTCAACTGAGAAGATGGACCAGGCCCCATCAACTAGCCCATAAAGATATCGCCAGAGTTTTACGATGAAATAAAATGCTTACTAGGGTTTCCACGCTATAAAATTTCCAGCATCGCCGCTCAGTCGAGTGTTGTTGAGGCGGCAGTGGAACTCGCTAAGGTTTGTACCTGCCGATGGTTGTTGCTCTGTATTTCACCAGAATCTCACAAAGCCCCAGTTCCTTCATCTTTGTCATCTGATTATCGCGTTTTCTTGGTTGCAGCTTGATCGATAGAAAAAGAATTCGCAGGAGCTAATCACCAACAGCCAAAAAAATGTCGGGGTATGTATAATGACTCTGATCTTCAGCCATCTTTGATCTTTCATCAGTTTTTTGTTTCCGCTCCTTTCATATTCAATGGCTTCTGCAATTTCTACGATTTTTTATTCTAGGCCGCATCTGATTCCTATCTGTTTAGTAGTATTGCTTTCTATACATCTAGTTTATAACAGTCTTAGAAGAAGATAGAGGAGTCTTGGCCTTTGGGGTTTAGTGGTGCTGTTACCAATTCTGGACTTTTTCTTTACTTCTTTTCGATTCTCTTTTGGGCGAATGATCCCTATTTGTCGTCTGATTTACCGAGTTGATGGGTGATTTTGCAGTGAAGAAGTTGCCGTCGAACAGCCTGAGGCTGTTGCAGCCCCTGCTGTCCCTGCTCCGGGTGAGCCGATGGACTTGATGGCAGCCTTGCAGCTAGTGCTGAAGAAATCTCTTGCACATGGTGGTCTATCAAGGGGACTTCATGAGGGCGCCAAAGTGATTGAGAAACATGCTGCTCAGCTTTGCGTGCTGGCCGAGGACTGCAACCAAGCTGACTATGTCAAGTTGGTGAAGGCTCTCTGTGCTGACCACAACGTCAACTTGATGACTGTGCCTAGTGCCAAGACCCTTGGTGAATGGGCTGGGGTAAGTGTTTCGTCTCAGTCTCGGTTCCTGATGGTGTTTCCAACTTGTTGATCGATTCATGTGGTAAACTAGTTTTAAATTGTGATTTCATGAATAAGGTTATCTTCTGGAACAATTGTGGATGGCTATTTTAATGAATTGGCAATGTTCTATTATCATCCCAGTAGGTGTTTATCATGTTTCAGAATACTGAAATTGCTGGAATTTTTGATAACTTTGCAATAGATGCTTTAGAGCAGGATGCAGTAGGATAGTTTAGAGCAGCTAAACACGACAGTACTCAATGCTGTTTGCTATCAGTTTGTCTCAAAGGTCTTTCATTTTTTATGTACTGCTTGCTCCGTTGCTATGCTGTTGAAGGGTGTTTCCCCCTTGTGTTTGTTGGTTTATTTAGGGAGTAAGTGACATCTGTCTGTATCTTGATGTATTATTGAAGTATCTTTCGTGACTATATCCCAGTGTGTTAAATGGATTGTGTTTTATTTACAGCTCTGCAAGATTGATTCAGAGGGCAACGCAAGGAAAGTTGTTGGATGCTCATGCGTTGTTGTCAGGGTAAGACTACTTTCTTCTCAAGACCAAACGTATTGAAATCTCTGTTCATGATTTCATTCTAATAATGATCCTCTGCTGCCATTGCAGGATTATGGGGAGGAAAGTGAAGGGCTTAATGTAGTTCAAGAGCATTTGAAAGCCAACTAGATAGTACTTGATGGACGGGCTGTGATGTTACAGGAGCCTACACCGAGTTGTTTTTGTTTCCATCAAGTTAGAGTAAAGACCCTCTATTTCATAGATTATGTCTGAACTTTGTTCTTGTGCTGGATTTTTATTTTTGGTTCTCCGTTGTATGCTACTTTTTTGGTGGTGAAGATTAATTGACTTTTAAACAAGGTGTTTGAGAGCTTCCTGGTGCAACGTATGGATTTTATGTTGGTATCTGTTTCAATAGGTGTGGCCGGTTCAAGGTAATCTGCAAACTTGCAAAGTATGGGTTCACTCAGACCAACTTGTTGCTCTTATTTAGCAAGAGATTGAATTTTCTTGGGTAAAAATACAATATATTATCCATAACTATTAAGTAGCGGGGAATTATAGCCACAATTATCGAAATACAAATTATTAGCCATAACTATTATTGTGGGTCAAGATTTGGCAAACAGCCCGTTACTGTTTTCAAATTTTTAACGTAGAAGGTCATGTCAGCATCGTAAAAAATATGATATGATGACTGCCACGTGGGAGCCAGCTCACCATCGTAAAAGTTTATTCATCATTACTAACAGAAGTGTTAACGAAAACTTAACGATTGGCTAATAATTTGTATTTCGATAGTTGTGGCTATAATTCCCCGCTGCTTGATAATTATGGCTAATATATTGTATTTGCCCAATTTTCTTAAACAAACCAGAAACTTTAAACGAGTAACAATAGTTAGTCCTACAATATTAGTCTTGATTTAGGTCACACAATTCGTCGACATACCCCTGTCGCTCTCACTCTAAATCGGAAAAATGCAATTTCATTCTAATTCGCCAATAATTCACGAATTATAGTGAGTCGGAGCGCTAATTATATTTGTTGGAGCGTGAATTTCTCCAATTTTTCATGCATCCCAGTTTTCGCGAAGGAGATATATGTGCTCTTCTTGTCGGTGACCTCGGCGCCGCATCCCTCTATTGTCAGCTCAGCAATTGGGGGAATCAGTTGGGATTCCGGCCTGCCATCGATGAATCGCTCGTCGTCCCACCACTTCGCAACACATGCATTAGTTACCCGGTGAGTTGTGGTGGTGGCGGGTGAAGAAGACGGAGATGGAGGAGTTGCGGCAGAGTTGGATTGTGGAGATGAGGTTTGAGGAAATCGCGTCGATCATTGAGGAGAAGGTCGATTACTAGTAGGTCGGAGGTTTTGGGATCTGAGTTTCGTTTTCGAGTCTCATGTATTTGGTGTAGGAACCATTGTTACCGTGCTGGCAGGGGCGAAGCCAGGATTCCTATTCCGGGGGGGGGGGGGGGGGGGAATTGAAAAACTGCACCTAAGCCAGTATTTCCATGTGGGTGGCCAAAATTTGAATAATTGCACATTCTTTTGCTTTGAGAGATAGATTCGTCATTCGTAAAATCATATTCAAGGTAAATGTTTCGAATATTTTGTCTATTAAATCAAGAGACTTCACGTTTTGTAGCTAAATTTTATTATTTTCATTCAAAATGCACATTTACAAAGAGGGAATTGAAAAACTGCACCTAAGCCAGTATTTCCATGTGGGTGGCCAAAATTTGAATAATTGCACATTCTTTTGCTTTGAGAGATAGATTCGTCATTCGTAAAATCATATTCAAGGTAAATGTTTCGAATATTTTGTCTATTAAATCAAGAGACTTCACGTTTTGTAGCTAAATTTTATTATTTTCATTCAAAATGCACATTTACAAAGATAAATTATTATTAAATGAATCAAAACAAGCCAGTATTTCCATGTGGGTGGCCAAAATTTGAATAATTGCACATTCTTTTGCTTTGATAGATAGATTCGTCATTCGTAAAATCATATTCAAGGTAAATGTTTCGAATATTTTTTGTCTATTAAATTAAGAGACTTCACGTTTTGTAGCTAAATTTTATTATTTTCATTCAAAATGCACATTTACAAAGATAAATAATTATTAAATGAATCAAAACAAGCCAGTATTTCCATGTGGGTGGCCAAATTTTGAATAATTGCACATTCTTTTGCTTTGATAGATAGATTCGTCATTCATAAAATCATATTCAAGGTAAATGTTTCGAATATTTTTTGTCTATTAAATCAAAAGACTTCACGTTGTGTAGCTAAATTTTATTATTTTCATTCAAAATGCACATTTACAAAGATAAATAATTATTAAATGAATAAAAACAAGATATTATCTAATAATACAAGCAATAAATAACTATATACTAAAGGAAGTAAAATTCAAAATCAGTCAACAAAAAGGAAATCCGCCAAAATTGTTGAAAATGATAATAAAGGGTGAAACAATAGTTAAAAGCAGTACTAGAAAATTAGAAATAATAAAAATCAATTAAAATGCAGAACCTGCGCCCACAGGGATTCAAACCTGCGTTCAAATCCTCCCAAAATCAAGCATTCTTACCACAAGTCTACAATACAACTTTGCTATACTAATCGCTACTTGACTTAATTTATAATTCCCGGGGGGGGCCATGGCCCCTCCGGCCGCCAAGCTAGCTTCGCCCCTGCCTGCTGGTGCGAAAAGAAGAAAGCGGAAGGAAGGGGAAGGAAAGGTGAAGAAGACGGAGATGGAGGAGTTGCGGCAGAGTTGGATTGTGGAGATGAGGTTTGAGGAAATCGCGTCGGTCATTGAGGAGATGGTCGGAGGTTTTGGGATCTGAGTTTCGTTTTCGAGCCTCATGTATTTGGTGTAGGAACCATTGTTACCCTACTGGTGCGAGAAGAAGAAAGCGGAAGGAAGGGGAAGGAAAGGTGAAAATTAGGGATTTGTTGTTATCTAATGGTAGTGTGGCTAGGAGTTTGTAGGAATTTGGTCGAGCCTGGACTGGGATTAGATAGCTAGATGGGCTTGCAAATTTTTATGACAAGTCCTGCAAGGCTAATTTAATTATATAACAAGCCCTTGTCGACAAGCCGCTTACTTCGTCACCTCTCAAGCTTCAGTAATGCCAAGTAAATAAACACTACACATAATGGGTTTCGAAGCCATGTCATCTTCAAATCACATAACGCCCTCAACCACCAGGCTAGAAGACAAACTTGTGTCTCTTATTTCTGCCGCCAATATTTAATCACTCCTTGCAGCCTCTCTTACTCCCAAAGCTAAGTATCTCCTTCGAGAAATATTTCAATGTCATGCAATGAAGAGACTCATCACCATGCTAGGATATTCTCAAGTGTGCTATGTTTGTTTTTTACGCTCAAAATATGTTGGGCACTAGCCACTCATATCTTTCACAGATACACGAAGACTTATACCTCCGGAGCAACGCCCCAAGGCACGAAAGCACACGCCTCCCGTCTTCGGGCTTGGCTCGAAGACTTATGCCTCCCGAGGCAGGAGATCGCTCAAAAACGCCATCCCGAAGGCAGAGCGACTCCATAAAATGCCTTCCGAGACAGGGTTGTTCATAACACGCCACCCCGAAGGCAGAACAACCCAACCACAAAACGCCTTCCGAGGTAGGAGTTCGCTCCTAAAACGCAACCCCGAAGGCAGAGCGACTCCATAAAATGCCTCCTGAGGCATGGAGTTGTTCATAACATGCCACCCCGAAGGCTGAACAACTCCGGAGCAGCGCCCCAAGGCACGAAGACACACGCCTCTCGCCTCCGGGCCTGGCTTAAAGACTTATGCCTCCTGAGGCGGGAGATCGCTCATAGAACGCCACCGCGAAGTCAGAGTGACTCTATAAAATGCCTTCAGAGGCAGGGTTGTTCATAACACGCCACCCCGAAGGCAGAACAACCCAACCACAAAACGCCTTCTGTGGTAGCAATTCGCTCATAAAACGCCACCCCCGAAGGCAGAGGGACTCCATAAAATGCCTCCCAAGGCATGAAGTTGTTCATAAAACGCCACCCCGAAGGCAGAACAACTTCAGAGCAACGCCCCAAGGCACGAAGACACACGCCTCTACCCTCCGGGCCTGGCTTGATGACTTATGCCTCCTGAGACGGGAGATCGCTCATAAAACACCACCCCGAAGGCAGAGCGAACCCATAAAGTGCCTTCCGAGGCAGGGTTGTTCATAACACACCACCCCGAAGGCAGAACAATCCAACCACAAAACACCTTCCGAGGCAGTAGATCGCTTATAAAACGCCACCCCGAAGGCAAAGTGACCGCACAAAAATGCCTTCCGAGGCATGGAGTTGTTCATAACACGCCACCCCGAATGAAGAACAACTCCGGAGCAACGCCTCAAGGCTTGGAGATTTATGCCTCCCGTCTCCGGGCTTGGCTTGAAGACATGCCTTCCGAGGTGGGAGATCGCTCATAAAACGCCACCCTGAAGGCAGAGCGACTCCATATAATGCCTTCTGAGGCAGGGTTGTTCATAACACGCCACCACGAAGGCAGAACAACCCAACCACGAAACGCCTTCCGAGGCAGAAGTTCGCTTATAAAATGCCACCCCGAAGGCAAAGCGATTCGCAAGAATGTCTTCCCTTCCGAGGCATGAAGTTGTTCATAACACACCACCCCGAAGGCAGAACAACTCCGGAGCAACTCCGCAAAGCTATGGACTTATGCCTCCCGTCTTCGGGCTTGGCTCAAAGCTCACACGCCTCTCGCCTCCAGGCTTGGCTCGAAGACTTATGCCTCTCGACTCCCCGACAGGCTCAAAGGAGAGACGCCTTCCGATAGACTCAAAAGAGAAACGTGTTCCGGCAGGCATAAAAGCCTCCCGACAGACATAAAGGAAAAAAACAAGAAAAAAAAACCTCCGAATAGGCTGAACATAAAATGCCTCCCGACAGGCTGAAAGATTAAACGCCTTCCGACAGACTCAAAGGAGAAACGCCTCCCGACAGGACGAACATAGAGCACCCCAATAGGCTGAAAGCTTAAACGCCTTCCGACATGCTCAAAGGAGGAACACCTTCCGACAAGCTCAAAGGAAAACGCCTCTCGACATGCCGAACATAGAGCGCCCCCAACAGGCTGAAAGTTTAAACGCCTTCTGACATGCTCAAAGGAGGAACGCCTTCCGACAGGCTCAAAGCTAAAACGCCTCCCGACAGACTAGAAAAAGATACGCCTCCCGACAGGCTGAAAGGTTAAAACGCATTTCGACAAGTTCAAAGGAGGAACGCCTCCCGATAGGACGAACATAAAACGCCTCTCGACAGGCTCAAAACTAAAACGACTCCCGACAGGCTAAGAGAAGACACGCCTTCCGACAGGCTAAAAGTTTAAACACCTTCCGACAGGTTCAAAGGAGAAACGCCTCCCAATAGGCTCAAAGCTAAAACGCCTCCCGACATGCTAATAGAGGACACGCTTCCCGACACGCTCAGAACTTAAACACCTCCCAACAAGCTTAAAGCTAAAATGCCTCTCAACAGGCTAAGAGAAGACACGCCTCCCGACAGGCTCAGAGCTTAAACACTTTTCGATAAACTCAAAGGAGAAACGCCTCCCGACTGGCTAAATAAGGAACGCCTCCACACAAGCTAGAAGATAGAAATCCGGACTACTCCCGAAAACCCACATCTCCCGCCTCCGGAAATGTCTTGAGTTACAGCTCACAAGTCGTGGGGACAACCCTCCCTAGCACATAGTCAACAACAATGGGCTAGTGAGGTAAACTATTTACTTGACTAGGAAAAACTAGCGCTTATCAAACGATTTGAGAGTTCTAACTCAAGGCATCGAAATCTAAGCAAGGGGCAAAGGTAAAGTCACGCAACTTGTACAAGGGGGAAAAACACATCGATCACACTCAAAAGCATAACACCTCTCGACAAGGAGGGGCAAATGCATCATCTAGTCTCAAAAGTAAGGCAAATTAATACGCTTTAAGATTTTATTTTACTCCTTCCATTCTTACAGAATACAAGAAGTAAAGGGGCAATTGTTGGGTGTGTATTAATCCGCCTAATACGACAAACGAATATGAACGGGCCCAAGCCTTCTAAGGAAGCCCAAGACTCCTATATAAGGAGGCCAAGGCCCTCTAAGTCAAAGACTCTTTCCCTTTCCCTTATTTTGGACACCACTTGAGGTCTCTCTCTCTAAACTATCTCTCTACATTCACATACATCATCATCTATATGCGTACTAATTTGGGCATCGGAGCATAGATCTCGGGGGCCGCCCCCTCCTTCCCACAAATTCCTCGCCTCCTGAA